AAAAGTACAAGATGTTCGTTTTTGGGTCTCTTTTCTTGATATAAAACAAAGATACATTGATAATTATGAGCCCTGACGGTGGAATATATCTGAGAAGATGGGACAAGAAAAATTATATAGAGAAGTTCCATTTGGTTGGGGCAGATTCATCTCAACACAACTTTTTTTGGCATTTTGCCTCGAAATCTTTGCCAAAAAATAGAATTTGGTCAAGTCTTACAGCGTTATAAAGATTGCCCTCATTTCACAATAATGAAGTCAGTATTTATTAAAAAGCAATATGAGTTATCACTTAGAGGGTATTCTACGACAGACTTAGGCTCAAGCTGTATTAGAAAATTTTCAATTGGTGAAGAAATTAATTTTGAAAAGTTTTCTTGACGTTTCGATAGCAAATCTGCTATCGTTCTTAAAAGGTACAATGCTAAATAAATACGAATGCGTACTCCGTCTGCGCTCTGACTTTTCGTTTTTTTTTAATTATCAATTTTTGGACATTAAATTAAATCTGTTGGCTTAAAAAAAGGTGAATAAAACTAGTTAATAATTTTTATGAAATTTAGTTTAGGTGTAGGTACGTTTACTTTAGTCTACTTCGGATATTAGCATGGAGGTGCAATATATCTAAATAAATTAAATTAACTATTAACTTGAGGCAACATTAATAGCTAGATTTAGTAAAATGAATGCACTTTCTTAAATTTTATATTTTCTGTTCATGGTTCATTTGCTTAAATTATTGAAGCATCCCATTGAATGTGATGGTAATTATGAAATGCGGCTTTAGCTTTCTCTTAGATGAAATTTATAACATTGGCCAAGAAATTTTGTAAATTACGTTATTTGTATTTTCAATTTTTCTTTTTGAAATTTGCTACTAATTGTATTTTCAGTTTTGAAGAAAGGCTCTAATATTGAATTTGCACCTAATTGTGTAATTTTATCTGAAATCCCCCGAATATATAGAATACAAAATTTTGAGATTAGTTCATTTTGACTTTGTATTAATTTTGAGTTTCCAATTTCATTAAAACATTTGTTAATAAAGGAATTTAGATACATATTGAAATTTAAAAATTATTTGATAAATTATTTTTTCTTCAGGAAAATTAGATTTATTTCACTTCAAGGAAGGAAAAATTATGTTTGAATTCAATAGATTCAAACGAATATTAAAATAGTATATCTTTGTACCGACAGCATATCTTTGTAACCGCTAGGCGCGAACCCGTTTTCGAGCTATTGTATTGTTTATTAGTAATATTTAAAAAAAAAATATTCTTGTCTTACTGCCATGTTAGCTTTACAACTAACAATCAACAACATTAAAACTAACAAAAATCTTTAATTGTTGGGTTTATTATTCCGCTGTCTTAAGCTGAATTCCATTTTTCAGAGGCCCTTGAACATTGACGACTCGTTTCAATTTTTAACTTAAAAAAAAAACAGTTTTTAAATGGCTGGTTAGATTAAAGATGGCGAAGGTTCTGGCGGATTATCGAAATTATCATTGCCTACGAAAGAGATATTTTTGATATAATGTCCTAAATCAAGATAGGTTTGCCAGAAAAAGCCGCGTTTGCCCTTATAACATTCAAAGAATTAGGAAATCTCAATAACGCGTATTTAGAGACAAACATTTTCCGATGTCCTTTTATAAAATAGCAGCGCTAATGATTATAGGGAAATTCGAAACCGTTTTCTGGATATACCTAATAGTTTATAGGAATTGTGGTCTATATCGTCGAAGGTAAAAAATTTCCTTTAGGTAAATTTGAAGAAGATGTGAACTAAAAATAACGTAATTAATCATAACTCTTCACAAATAAATAGAAATACTCCTTTTATGAGTTTAGTTTATATAAATAAATACGAAATATTCATCAATTTCTTAGCCGCTCATCATGCATTACTAGTCGCGATTTTTGTAAATAATTAGTTGCGAATTCCCCTCGGACCATTCCTCTTCAATGCATAAAGTTTATATTGAATTAATCTCAAAACTGGATGCTCCATTCGATTATAACAGCTGTAATTTTCGGAAGATTGATGGAATAATATTATGGCCAGATACGGAAACAAATGGCCGGTAGCTCATTGGTCCATTAAATTCACCCAAACGGAGAAACCGATTGTATTCAGGTCAGTGGAAACATGCTGATTGGGTACGATTATTTCCGTTTAAGATTTATAGTAGCAGTTTAATTTAAGATTGCTTTTAACATGGAAACTTTTATATCTTTTTTAAAACGTTCTCCAAGGAAAATGTAATCAGTGTCTGAGAATGAAAACATGATTAATTTTAAATATCAGTAAACATTTGATGCAGTTGAAATGGGGTTAAATAAACATAAAATAAATACTTTTTTATCAAAGCCAATCATTGCTCCCTTTAATATTAGAGGTTTTTCCAATAGAACTAAAATCCTTAACACATATTGTTCATTTCATCCAATAAAATGCCATCAAGCACTCGCTTTGATTGATCACCATTCATTCGAAGAGATGTTGGTCTCGATGATGACTGATTGAGCTTTATTCCAATTTGTTATTGTCAATGCCGTTTTGTGAAATGCGCGAGTAATTAGGAGCAATTGAGATTATAATTCCATTAAAGTAGCACTTCAGAATATCAGGATAAATAATTTTGATACAAAAATGATGCATTTGAGAATGAGTGGGGTTTTCAGAATATTTTGAACACTGAAGGGCCAAGTGCTTAAAATTACACAGAATAATACAAGATATATAAAACATACCTCTACCTTCAATTTCTCCATGTTGTCGACCGTATTGATTGCGCTAATCCGCACTTTAGGTTAAGGTGTGCCCAACTAGTAA